GAATCTGCCTTCTACTGCAGGGGATGCAGGTTCAATCCCTGGTCGGGGAACTAAGATCCCACACGCGCTGGGCAACTAAGCCTGCACGCCACAACTAGAGAGAAGCCCACACGCCACAACGAAGAGCCCGTGCGCCGCAACTAAGACCCAATGCAACCAAATAAATAAATAAATAAATACTTAAAAAATATATATTGAAAGGAATTGCAAGCAGAGGTAAAACTGATTTTTTTCCACAAGGAAAGGAGGGAAAACAATCAAGCCTCTGTCAGACAAGTCAGAAATTACTCGTCCACAAATTACTTAAAATTTACAGAATTGTGAAATAATTCCCGTGAAATCAATTTGAATCAGCTAATTAAAGGAAAGGTGTGCAACACACACATTTTTCTCTACAGATGGCAGTCTTAAAAACATGGGTGGGATTATGGAATTTTTTTTTTTAGTTTATTTAAAGTGGCGCAGTGGTTGAGAGTCCACCTGCCGATGCAGGGGACACGGGTTCGTGCCCCGGTCCGGGAAGATCCCACATGCCGTGGAGCGGCTGGGCCCGTGAGCCATGGCCACTGAGCCTGCGCGTCCGGAGCCTGTGCTCCGCAACGGGAGAGGCCACAACAGTGAGAGGCCCGCGTACCGCCAAAAAAAAAAAGTAATTTTAAAAAACAAATATATCCCTCCACAATTTTTTTTTAACATCTTTATTGACAAATTTTTAACAGGACATTCCAAAGCACCTTTAAATATTAACACCCCCTGAAGTGCTTAGTAGGGGATTTGATTTGCCAGAACATTTTAGAAACGCATGGTTAATTTGAGGCATACCTGGTTCCTGTTTCTGTCTCTCTTTTTTTTTTTTTAATTTTATTTATTTATCTGTTTGCGCCAGGTCTTAGTTGCGGCATGTGGGCTCCTTAGTTGTGACATGCAAACTCTTAGTTGCAGCATGCATGTGGGATCTAGTTCCCTGACCAGGGATCAAACCCAGGCTGCACCACCAAGGAAGTCCCTGGTTCCTCTTTCTCCTGAAGTTTATCAAATACCACACTTGACCTAATTAATAGTCTCCTTCTTCCCATTGATTACTCATTCCTTCTCTTTCTCAAACCTGGGCATACAAGCTATCTCTGCTTTGTAAGTCATCAAATTGCAGAGTCTCTAAATGGTTACAGAGACAGCAAGCTTCAGGGATAAAAATTCCTCTCACCTTCCTTTTCCATGGAGTCGAGAGTCCAAAGGCCAGAGGAGCCATTGCTACTGTGCAGGACTGGGCAGGGCCGGAGCTGAGGGCAAAGGTGAAAGTAGCAGCAGCTACTTGGGCACCTTCTCCTTCCCGAAGTCCACACCCCTGCCACCCAGATGCTGCAGGTCTGCACTAGCCAGGACAATGATCACGTAGACCTAGTTAAATTTACATTAAAAGAAAAAATCCAGTTTCCAGTTGTAATAGCCACATTTTAAGTGTTCAATACCCACACGTGGCAAGTGGCTACTGGATCAGATAGTGCAAGTAGCGAACATTTCCATCATCGCAGAGAATTCTACAGGACTGCACCACTGAAGATGACCACTCCCTCCCTCCATCTCAGATTTCTCTCCCATCACTTTTTCTGCCTGCCATGTTTGTTATTCAAATAAATCAAGCGTCTGACAAAGACGGGTCTCTTTGACCAAACTCCAGTTAGGTGCCTCTGAGCACTTTTCTCAACTAGGTCTCAACTTTTGGCTTCTGTGTCTAATCCTTGCCAAGTCCAGTTTTAGCAAAAATCCTAAGTCAATTTAGAGGGAATCCTCCACCCCTGAGATCTGATCCATCCCTAGCTTGCCCTCAGCAAAAATCCTACTTAGTCAGTTTAGCAAGAATCCCCACTACCCTTGGTGTGTCCTCTTGGTAATTTTTCATCTACTGACCCCCCTCACTCTGCTTAATGGCTATAAATTCCTACTTGTCCTTATTGTATTTGGAGCTGAGCACAATCTCTCTCCCCTGTTTTAATGTTCCTATTGCAACAGTTCTGAATAAAGTCTTCCTTACCATTTAACAGGCTTCAGAATAATTTTTTCTTTAACACCTCTTCTATGAAACCTTCCTTCTTGCCCCTAGGAAAAATTAGTTCTCTTCTATCTTAGCACCATGTCAATTCCTCTTCTAAAGCCAATATCGTGGTATTAAACTCATTTATGTGTTTTTCGTCCCTTATGGATTACTGAACTCTCATGAAAAGTATAGCGAGTATAGTGATTAAGAGTACACTTGAGTCAGAATGCTGGGTTCAAAGCCTTCTAATGGCGCTTACTAGCTGTGTGAGCTTGGGCAAGTAACTTTATTTCTCTAAGCCTCAATTTTATCATCTGTAAAATGGGGATAATAAAAGTGCTTCTCTTATAAGAATTAAATGAGATAACCCACTGTGTCAGGCACAGACAAATTACCCCAATCCCCAGTCTTTGTTTGACTCCATACCTGGAAGTTGAAGATAAAAGTGGAAGATTTTCTCTGTAGGTCTGAATGTAAATTCCCATTTCTTCAATATTCAGTTATAAAGGGTTGTACTTGCAGGCTTCCCTTGACACTTCTATTGGAAATAAGTAAATCAGACTAATTAACCTTTTTTTTTTTATTATTCTGTGCTGATATTTATTTATATATATATAAAAATATATAAAAATATATATATAAAAATATATAAAAAATATATAAAAAATATATTTATTATTCTGTGTTGATAGCTCTCCAAGCTATCAACAAAACAACCTATTGATAAGACAAAAGTGAGTTTATTCTTACTGCAGTAAGGAAGACTAGTATTGTAATAGTGGCCGACAGGTGGCAGGACAAATTAGTAGTATTTATTGAGAATTTGAAGATTGGTTGGAGGCGGGGTGGGGGGGCGGGAATCTTTCAGTGCAGGTGCGGGGGGCGCAGGATTTGATTAGAATTGGGCAAGGGTCATGATATAATACTTTAGGACTGGAGGGCACAGCAAGGATTTTGAGGCCAGCGGTTCTAAGAGTCTTGGAGTGTACAGAATTGTCAAGTGATACTTCCTATTGAAAAGCTGATGGTTCTTTTAGGAAGTTCTTAAAATGAACAATGGATTTATTTGCATTTTTAACTTCCAGGCAAGAGTGTTAATAGTTGTCATATTAACATAGACAGTAAGCTGTGTGTGTGTAGGAGGTGTCAGTTCTCAGTGCTTTTAAGAAAGCTAATAAGTAGAATTAATGGAAATATATCCAAGATTCTAAGGTCACCCCTGTAGATAGAGTTTTAAAGGGAAGAGTATTATTTTGGTAACTCAGAAGGTGATCTGAACTTTCAGTAGAAACCCCACTCCCAGGTTTACTCATCATTTCCCACCATCCTTTCATCTCAGTTGAGTGCCACCAGTCTTGTGAGAAGGCAGGATTAAGAATGCTCATTCTCCTGCCTGAAACCTCAAGTGGCTTCAGGGGCATAAATCCCTGGTTAGATGACATGGAAAACTTTCTCTCCAGATTTAGACAGATGCTACTCCTTGGAGAAGGGGCACTTCTGAATTTAACCTTACATAGACAGCATGTTCAGTGTTAAGAAATAATTATCCTGGGCTTCCTTGGTGGCACAGTGGTTAAGAATACGCCTGCCAGGGCTCCCCTGGTGGCGCAGTGGTTAAGAATCTGCATGGCAATGAAGGGGACACGGGTTCAAGCCCTGGTCTGGGAAGATCCCACATGCTGTGGAGCGACTAAGCCCGTGCGCCACAACTACTGAGCCTGTGCTCTAGAGCCCATGCTCTGCAACAAGAGAAGCCACCGCAATGAGAAGCCTGCACACTGCAATGAAGAATAGCCCCCACTCGCTGCAATTAGAGAAAGCCTGCACGCAGCAACAAAGACCCAACATAGCCACAAATAAATAAATTAATTAAAAAAAAAAAAAGAATCTGCCTGCCAATGCAGAGGACACGGCTTCAAGCTCTGGTCTGGGAAGATCCCACATGCCACGGAACAACTAAGCCCATGCACCACAACTACTGAGCCTGCGCTCTAGAGCCCGCGAGCCACAACTACTGAGCCCGAGTACTACAACTACTGAATCCTGCGCCTAGAGCCCGTGCTCCGCAACAAGGGAAACCACCACAATGAGAAGCCTACGCACTGCAACAAAGAGTAGCCGCCACTCGCTGCAACTAGAGAAAGCCCATGTGCAGCAATGAAGACCCAATGCAGCCAAAAATAAAAATAAATAATTTTGTTAAAAAAGAAATAATTATCCTGACACTTGATAAAACAGTAAAAGAGACTTTAACCAGGACTACTGCAATAGGGGAGAGAGATTGCACTCAACTCCAAATACAATAAGGACAAGTGGATAGAAAATTACTAAGAGGAGACATCAAGGGTGAGGGAATTGTTGCTAAACCTACTTACAGGATTCTTGCTGAAGGCAGGTCAGGGTTTGATCAGATATAAAGGGTGGGGAATTTTCTCTAAACTGACTTAGCAGGATTCTTGCTGAGTTTATTCTTACTCCGATTAGGAAGAGCACTACATTAACAGAGTTAACACTAAAGAATAATTTCTTTCTGGAGGGGTAATGATGAAACACAAACTGGGCTACCCAGGGGGGTTGCTGGGTCTCCTTTAGGGGCAAGTGGGAGGCATGATTAAATGACAAAGAGATTCTCATCTATAAGACTCTTAGTGAAGTATTACGTGGAGCAGGAGAAAAATGAAGATGACTTCTGAATGGTCCTTCAAATGTATGGAGCTTGCACTCAGGTCTAAAAGAAAAAAAAAAAAATTTTTAAAGGAAGGTAAATGGCTCTTTCTAGGGAAAGAAGTAGGCTCCTTGGAATGTGATCTTTGCTCCAGACTGGGGAAAACCATACAGGGCTGCGGAGCAACCCTGGGGCCCAGTCACCTAAACACTACAAGTCCCCAAAAGCACCGCGGTGAGGGCGGGGCTTACTGACCGTTACGACGTAGCGGGCGGGGTCAGACGGGACCGCTCTGCCCTGGGTTTTCAGCCCCGCCCCTGTCTCTTTTCCCGCCCTGTTGCTGTGGCGCCGCCGCTGGCTGTAGCCCCTGGTGAGTCCCTGGAGTGAAGGTGGGCAATTAGGGACAGTTGGGCCCTCGGGTTCCCCGACTTCACACATCCAGTCCTGAGAAAGGGCCATGGGCGGGCAGTGGTGCGGCTGGTTTCGGTTTTCACCTCCTTCCATCCTTCTAGGGTGACCGTGAGAGTGGCGTCATGGGGCCCCTGGAGCCCCTCCGCGGCCTTGGAGGGTTGAGGGCAGTTTTTTCCCCGAGGAGGGTAGGGATTCAGTGCCCGGGGCCGGGTGGGCGGCTCCTGGGGCAGAAGGAATCCTCTGACCCGAGTGAGGGTCTTGAAGTCACGACGTCATGCCCTCGCCTTTCTGGCCGAGGTCGTGTTGGTTCCTTAATCCCCGTGCTTGACGTCATTGGTGGCTGTGGCCGAGGGCGGACCTTGCCCAGTCACCCTAGGCAAGTTACTTTCTCTTTGGGCCTCAATTTCCCCGTCTTGATCCCTGAAGCCCCCTTCCTTCAGTTGAGGCCGTTTGTAATTGGAGATGTTCTAGACGACCGAGAAGAAAGAGCACTTGGGGTGCGGTGACCTGCTTCTTTACCGTTGATCTCCGGTGGCCCCTCCCTCCCCACCATCCCCCCCATCTTCCCCCACCCCCAATTTAGTTTGGGGCTAATGTTCCCACTCTAATTTATTATGATTTCAACCCCTCCTGGACATTTAAACTTTTTTCTATCACTTGGATTCTTTGCTTCTGATGTAAGCCAACAAGTGGCCATGGTTGGAGCTGAGTAGAATAATACAAAAGCTATGTATTATAACATCTCCACTATTGCAAAAACTGTTAAAAGCAAAAGACTTTTAATACAATAGGTCTTTGTAGACTGTGTAGAGCACATGATTAAGGAATATCCAGGTGAGTGACTTTCACCGATACTTTCAGAGGGCCTCTATTTGAAACTGTACCCTTTTGCAGAAATGACAGCTGTGGAGTGGGAAGGACCCTAAGAAAGGTAGTAAGAGTTACGTAACACAAGTCATGTGGTCTTTGGAGTCAGATAGTACAAATAGGGCTCTTTAAAATTTTTGACTGTGCTCATTAATATAATACCATGCTTCCTCATTTTCTTAGATGAAAAGACAGTTAAACTCTTTCATTTCCTTTTTCCTCCACTTGGGATCATCATTATAGCTGGAAAGTTCCTTAGAGATTTTCTTGCCTGATCCGTGTGTTTTACGGATGAGGAAACTGAGGCCTAAAAAGAGGTAATGTGACTTGGCCAAGATCTCAGAGCTAGTTAGTGGCAGAACTAAGACAGGAACCCAGGTGCCTTGGCTCCTAGCTTAGTCCCCTTTCTATTACACTTCAAACACTGTCACTACCCAGGTCACTTCAAGGGTTAGCTGAATCACCCTTTTCACAGAAAAAGTATAAAATCTCAGTAAAGTAAAATGGAATAAAATGGAGATTTAGTCCACAGCTTGGAGCTTTTCGCAGTTTCTCCTGGTTGCCCAGAACAGTTTTTCTGTTCTTCCCTAGTACTGTTGGCACTGTGGTGTTGTGGTATGTGGGATGAAGGCTGCTTAGAATAAGCCGGGCAGCTAATCCAAACAGTTGTTACTGAATTAGGTATTAAAAGTCTCCTGGGGGTACAAAATTTACTTAAGGCACTAGAAAGATTTTAGGTAAGGAACTGGAATGAACTTGGAAAATTCGGATTAGAGCAAGTGGCTCTCATAATTTGAGGACCAGTGACTATGTGTCTGTGCTTTTGCTCCCCATCTCAGGGCCATCTACACATCCATAATATCTATTGTCAGTGTTCTCTAAAGGGTAGTTTTGTGGAAGCATCTATTCCAGGGCCAGGGGGAGTGGAACTCAAATCAGTTTGTCCATTTTGCTAATTGCTAGTAGTTTAGAAACTTAAGTAAGCAGAAGGATGAAGGGATTAGGTTGAATGTGTGTTTAGTTTTTACTTATTTTTGTTTTTACTATTCCCAAATGAAGAACTGATTGGCATTTCTCTCTCGGCTGTGGATTCATTTGGTTTCCTTCTGTGAACTGATCCAGAGAAACTTATAATCTATAGTCTTCACTTCTCTTGAAACATGTGCCCACTGGTATAAAAGGCGAATGTAAAAATGTTGGGCATTCTTTGTGCTAGAATTTTAGTTTTTGTTGCTGTCGTTTTATAAGGTTATTCTTTGTGGTTCAGCACACATGAGGAGAAAGCTTTAGGAAAATTGGTGAATTGATTTGGTTGAATATTTGCACTGTTAGAACCTAAACCAGAAAGCTTAAAAAAAAAAAAAAGACAGAAAGCTTAACATTTTTCAATTATTCTGCTAAAAAGCGTATCAGCGTAGTTTACAGATTCAAGAAAGAGCAGGAGTAGAACTGGCTTCTTGTTCCTTCAGGAGAATATAGGAGAATCTATGCCCTCATGGAACAGTCCTGGGAGTACTGTATTAGGCTTGAGAAGCTCATTAGATGAAAATGTGTCAGGTTTTCTTAGAAGCCAGGAGCCAGTTCGGGAGACTCATTTTAAGATATATTGCCTATTATTGCCTGCCTCCTCTGAGGACCCTAATCATTTTGGAAACTGAGCTGAAAAAAAAGAAAAAGTAGCAACTGTGTCAGAGTCCAACTAAAGTGCCTCTGACAGTTTGTGGAATCTCTGCATTATTTTCCCACGTTTGATGGTTTGTTTTCTGTTTTTGGTTTTGGTTTTTTTTGCGGTACGCGGGCCTCTCATTGTTGTGGCCTCTCCCGTTGAGGAGCACAGGCTCCGGACGCGCAGGCTCGGCGGCCATGGCTCACGGGTCCAGCCGCTCCGCGGCATGTGGGATCTTCCCGGACCGGGGCACGAACCCGCGTCCCCCGCATCGGAAGGCGGACTCTCAACCACTGCGCCACCAGGGAAGCCCTGATGGTTTGTTTTTAAAATTTTCTATTTGTTTTCCCTGGTAACTCGTTATATGGCCAGTCTTTGATTTGAGGGTAGGAGTAAGGAATTAAGTGGAATACCATTCCATGACTTCTAGGGAGCCTAATTCATCCCACTGCTTTTTAATGACTCTAGGTTTCTAAATTTAACATTTGCTCTTTTTGTATTTCTTCTCTCTTCCTTGTCTCTGTGGATATTGCCAGAATTAGAAGTGGATGGTGGACAGGTTCTATAGTGGGAAGAGTGGTTAAAAGAGGGGAGCTGATGCTTAAATCATTCTAATTTTCCTTCCGCATCCTTCCTGCCCGCCCCCGCCACAAACAGTCATTTCTAGACTGCTTTGTCAGAAAGACAATTTCCCAAGCCGTTGTTGGAGCCCATTTCTCCCAGGGAATTTTATCGCTGGGAGGGAGGATAAGCTTTAAGGATCACTGACCTTAAAAATCAGTAGATAGCTTCCTTCCAGGAAAAGTTGAATGAGGTACCTCCTCACTGACCCAGTGTAGATTGACATGGTTATGCTCTAGGTTTACCCATGGCCTTTTCTAAAAGTCGTCGGCTTTGGTAAGAAGCAGAAAAGCCACTATTTTTCTTCACTCTACCTCCTCAAACCCTTCTGCAGTCTTGGCAGAAGAGTTTTTTATTTCAAGAATGATTGAGTTCCAAACACCCGGAGTGCCATTGGGTGTCCCCTGAGTCCTTCTGGGAATGTAATGAGGTCTCTGAAATGGAAAACTTCATGGAGTCTCTTATATTTTTGATAAGCAAGGAACCAAGGCTGTTGACTTTTCCAGACAGATGTTAGGTTTTCAGATGAATGACAAGAGATGAAGGTTCCATTGGCTGTGCACTCAGGCCTCAGAATATGAGCTCTTTCATGTCATTTTGTGTGTGTATGCTGTCCTTTCTTCAGTGAGATTCTGTCAGGATCTCAGTTCCCCAACCAGCGGTTGAACCCGAACCACAGCAGTGAAAGCCCAGAATCCTAACCACTAGGCCACCAGGGAACTCCCGCCTCACCCTATTTTAGAAAAGAGAAAGCTGAGAAACAGCTTCTCCAAAGGTACCCAACAAGTTAAGAGCAGGGCTAAAGACAATAATCAGCCCCTCCATCATTCACAGCATTGTTTACCTACAAAGCCGCTTCCTTTCACTTTTTGATGAATTGCATATGTACCTTATTCATTCATTTATTCAGTGAGTAAGTACTATGAGTATATAGCAATAAGTGATTGCTATGGGCTAGGTGTTTTGTTGTGTATGTAGTGGTGATAGTGTTATGAAGGAAAAGAACAGGGAGTATGATGGCATTTAGGTTAATTGAAAGACAGGCCCTGAATTCACTCTTACCTGAGTGTTCTCATGATCCACAGTAAAGGACAGATTAAGTCACATGCTCAGATAAATGGTGCTCCAGGCTTAGGACACAGGGGCTATGCTGGCCTCAGTGTGACTGAAGACCACTAGGAAAGACAGGGGTCTGCGAGCTGAGAAATCTCCCAGCCCAACCTCCCACAGCATCCAACAGATCAGTAGTCTGTAACAGCTTATCATGAGGAACAAGTACTGGCCTAGGCTGGAATGTGACCTCTTTCTTCCTTAGAAAAACTGATCTGAGGTTTGAGGTTGAGGATGTGGCCAAACTGTGTCACAAACCAGAAAGCTAGTACATTTCTTAGTTCCTTAGCTCAGTCTCGAGAACAGACAGTTCAGTGCCTCAAAGTCCTCTTACCTTCTCTGTGAAAAAATTGACTTCTGGGGGAGCTGGAAGAGGAGGCCTGTTTGCTTAGAGTTCAAAATAAACCAGGAAATAAGTGGGGTGGGGCAGAGCTAGAAGAGCTACTGTGTTTTTCTGGTTATTGTACTTACTGTTTTTTTAAGGGGTGTGTATGTGTGTGTCTCTGTGTCTCTGTGTGTGTGTGTCTGTGTGTGTGTGTGTACAATCTTCCAACACGTTCTAACAGCTGAATTTGTAAGATACCATGTAGTAGTATTTGCAAATGTACAGCCCTTTCTGCATCTGCTGTGTAGAGCTGCAGTATTGTTTTCATTTCCCAGTAGAACTCTGGGTTGAGAAACATAGACTCACTAAATGCATTTAGAAGACAGGCATGTGGCTTTTGAGGTCCCGACAATTCAAAAGACTTTGTTTTCTTTTGTGTGTTGTTTTTATCTCCCCAATAGTTCCCATCCTTGATCACATTTTATCTGTACTATGACCTAGAAAGGTGAAATACAGCTTACTATCCCCATTTTATAGATAGGAATCCAAACTTGCTTGCTGTCCTCCATGGGCTGCATTTTTCTGTTTCTTTGCTTTTATGCATGCTGCTTCGTTCATCTGGAATTTCCTCACCCCCAAACACATTTGTCAGAATTCTAATCTTCCTTGAGGGCTTTTCTAGGATTCTACTCACTCCTCGAAGCTTTTCTTCATTTTCCTAACCAGTTTCATTTCTCTCTCTTTTGAACCCAAGAGCATTTTGCACTTATTTGGCAGTCACTTAAATTCTCATCTAACCTCCATATCGGATTGGGACTCTTTTGAGGGCAAAGACTGACGGAAAAGAAAAGAAACACAAACGTAATAGTCACTAACATCTGTAAAACCCTCTCTTTATCCAGACTTTGTGCACGTGCTTTATTCTGTCACTCAGCCTTTACTTTGTGTGAATTGCCTACTCTATGGCAGGTACTGATTTAAGGACTAGACACTGCACATTGTAGGCATACCTATCTGCTTCACAGATACTATTTTTTCTTTTTTTTTTTTTGCGGTACGCGGGCCTCTCACTGTTGTGGCCTCTCCCGTTGCAGAGCATAGGCTCCGGACGCGCAGGCTCAGCGGCCATGGCTCACGGGCCCAGCCGCTCCGCGGCATGTGGGATCTTCCCGGACCGGGGCACGAACCCATGTCCCGTGCATCAGCAGGCGGACTCTCAACCTCTGCGCCACCAGGGAAGCCCACAGATACTATTTTTTTTTACAAAATTGAAAGTTTGTGGCAACCCTACCTTGAGCAAGTCTGTTGGCGCCATTTTTCTAACTGCATTTGCTCACTTCATGTCTCTGTGTCACATTTTGATAGTTCTCACAATATTTCAGACTTTTTCATTATTATTATATTTGTTACAGTGCTCTGTTATCAGTGGTCTTTGATGTTACTTTTGGAAGTCTTTGGCATTTTTTAGCAATAAATTATTTTTCAATTAACGTATGTACATTTTTTTAGACATAATGCTACTGCACACTTAATAGACTACAGTATAGTGTAAACATAACTTTCATATGCACTGGGAAACCAAAAAAACTGTGTGACTTGCTTTATTGAGGTATGTGCTTTATTGAGATGGTCTAGAACTGAACTTGCAATGTCTCCGAGGTATGCCTGTGTTTCAATTAATGCTCACAAAAAAAAGAATGAGGTAGATGTTATTAGCCCCATTTTACAGATGAGGAACCATGCACAGAGTCCAGTTAAGTAAATTACCCAAGGGCATGCGTTTAATAGGTGATGAAGCTGGAATTTGAACTCCAACATTTTGATTTCTGAACCCATGCTCGTCACCACTGCATGTCAAATAATCTCCTTCTCTCATCCCTATCTTTCTTTCTGCACCCATCCCCAGCTCCTAGCAGAGTGCCTTAATGTATAGAAGGACCCGATAATTACAGGATAAATGAAATTGAATAGAGAAGCTGAAATCTAGAGAAATTGACATTCCAAAAGTCATAGGGCTTGTTGGAATGAAAAATTTAGAATCTAAGTCTTAACAGTTCCCAGCTCAGGAACCTCTAGGCTGCCTTACTTAAGGCATTTAGAGGAAGGGGAGCAAACTAGATGTGAGCAGAGAACAAGGGTATGTGAGGGTGGTGGTGCCTGTGGTGAAGAGGTCACAGAGACTCAGAAAATTCTTATAGCACAGGAAGTTATGAATGCAAAGTGGCTCATAGTGAAACCGAAAGCAAGTTGTGTGATCTCAATACTTGTCAGGCTTTTGCTTTAACTGACTTGCCCCGAACTGAATGTTTCCTGGGTGAGAGCCCAGAAATTTCCAGCATTTCAGACAACCCTTTTTGAGCCTTATTCTATCCCATATCTCATAACAGGACCCCTACCATGGAAGAGACAGTAGAAGATCCCCCCACATCAGCTGTCTTGCTGGACCACTGTCATTTCTCTCAGGTCATCTTTAACAGTGTGGAGAAGTTCTACGTCCCTGGAGGGGACATCACATGCTATTACACCCTCACCCAGCATTTCATTCCCCGTCGAAAGGATTGGATTGGCATCTTTAGAGTAAGTGCTTAATTTAGTACCAAGTGACTGGGAACTAGAGGTTCATCTTAGTTACCTGAGTGTGTGTCTGTCTCTGTATTATAAGCATTTTGCATATATGTGTGGCCAATGTTAAAATCCTAAACTAAGCTCCCTAGCACTTCTCCCTACACACACCAGCATGTGCTGTAGGACTCAAATTTTAATTTCAGTCTTAAGCTAAAATAAGATAGCAAATCATACAATCCACAAGTTTTATTATACTTTCAAAGACCAAATGTAAATGTTTTTTAAATTATCCTATTTTGAAATATTCATCTATGACTTGACTGGGGTAGGTGGCCCCTTATATAATTTCTGTGAATTTAAATGTCACTTGCTTACTTAGTACAGTGTTTAATTTGTTTTAATATAAGTATTACAAATCTGGAAAGGATGTTGAAAATTTACCTTGTCCTATATCTTGCATCCAAGAAGTTTGTTCCTGAATAAGCGTGTCTTGCTTCTTTGTGAAGATTTCCAAGAACGGAAAGTTTATGAGCTCCCTCGGTTTCCTCTTCCAGTGTCTAATCGCCCTGTCAGCTCAAGTACAGAAATGGTACTTTTTATTATAGTCAACTTACTGTCTAGCTCCTCTTCTTTCCCCCTCTGTATCTCTGTCTCTGACATCCCCTCACACACAAACACACACATGCACACTCTTACTCATTCACTCACTCACACACCATAATGACAAATCGTCCTAATTACAGAGACAGAGATAAAGGTCAAACGTAAGTAACTTACACTGCTGAGTCCCAACATAAGTGACCTTTGTTTTGACACCTCAGTATGTCATGTGCTTGTTTACCAATGCTGTTCATCCTAAAATCAGACATCGTTCTTGAGTGCACTGTGTAGGAGCTGATGCTAATTCACATTTCCTCATCGAATTCCTTCTCCTTAATTGTTTGGAATTCCAAGCTAAGTGATAGAACGATGGAAGCTGTAGGTAACAAGGCTGGTGTTTAGAGGTGGGGGTAGTGGACAACCGGAGGGACAGCCGGAGCAACTTCCAGTGAGGACTTCACTCTAAAACAGATGAGAGTCTTATGCTTTTTATTTATTTATTTATTTATTTATTTATTTATTTTAATTAATTAATTTATTTATTTATTTTTGGCTGTGTTGGGTCTTCGTTTCTGTGCGAGGGTTTCTCTAGTTGCGGCGAGCGGGGGCCACTCTTCATCGCGGTGTGCAGGCCTCTCACTATTGCGGCCTCTCTTGTTGTGGAGCACAGGCTCCAGACGCGCAGGCTCAGTAGTTGTGGCTCACGGGCCTAGTTGCTCCGCAGCATATGGGATCTTCCCAGACCAGGGTTCGAACCCATGTCCACTGCATTGGCAGGCAGATTCTCAACCACTGCGCCACTAGGGAAGCCCTATTTTTATTTATTTATTTATTTATTTGGCTGTGTCAGGTCTTCATTGCTACACGAGGGCTTTCTCTAGTTGCGGTGAGCGGGTGCTACTTCTTGTTGCCGTGTGTGGGCTTCTCATTGCAGTGGCTTCTCTTGTTGCAGAGCACGGGCTTTAGGCACACGGGCTTCAGTAGTTGTGGCGCGCGGGCTTCAGTAGTTGTGGTGCACGGGTTTCAGTAGTTGTGGCACGCAGGCTCAGTAGTTGTGGCTCTCGGGCTCTAGAGTGCAGGCTCAGTAGTTGTGGTGCACGGGCTTAGTTGCCCCGCGGCATGTGGGATCTTCCCAGACCAGGGCTTGAACCCATGTCCCCTGCATTGGCAGGTGTATTCTTTTTTTTTTTTTTTTTTTTTTTGCGGTACGTGGGCCTCTCACTGTTGTGGCCTCTCCCGTTGCGGAGCACAGGCTTTGGACGTGCAGGCTCAGCGGCCATGGCTCACGGGCCCAGCCGCTCTGCGGCATGTGGGATCTTCCCGGACCGGGGCATGAACCCGCGTCCCCTGCATCGGCAGGCGGACTCTCAACCACTGCGCCACCAGGGAAGCCCAGCGGGTGTATTCTTAACCACTGCACCACCAGGGAAGTCCCGAAAGTGTTATTCTTTTTAAAAACAAATGTTTAAAAGCATTGTTTTTAAATGCATCTATACTTCATTCATTTCAGAGGTATTGCGTACCACAATAAGGAAATTGTGGTTAACCCAGAGAATGGCCTCTGATGTTCATTGTCACAAAGCTGTTGATTTGAACACCTACCCTAAAGTGTGTAAGCAAAGTTTAAGACTAATAAAGAGAGAACACAAACTTTTTGAGAACATATGATGTGCTAGGTCTTTGATGAGGGTGTGTGTGTGTGTGTGTGTGTGTGTGTGTGTGTGTGTGTTTGTGTTTTCTAATTTAATCCTTACAGCACAGCAGCCCCCTGAGGTAAGTAGTAGTATTGCTTGTGCACAGATGAATAAAGTGAATGTACTCAAGATGGTGACCTTCCTGTTTGACTCCCAAACCTCTGCTTTTCTTCCTCTTTTCTGCTGAATTCCTTTGAACAACAGATGGTCAGTTAGAGAATTAAGGGCTGACTGTAAAGTTGTGTACTTCCTAGCTCACTTCTAAAGTGCTCCTGGTGTTCTTGCAGTGTAGTCTTAATCATACCCCTCAACTCCTCATCTGCCCTAACACCGCTGGTTCCCAGCACCAAGTAGGCCCTCACAAAATGTTTCTGCACGTGCAATATGCTACATCTTCTCCATAGAGTGAAAGCTACCACCAGTGATAAAGCCTAAAGTGGATGGGAGTTAGCTTTTCTTCCTTCAACGTGGAGCCCTGTGCTCCATACTCTCCTTTACCCGGGCATTTATGCGATGTTCCAAGGTTCCGGGGAGGGGAGATGTCATAGCACAAGAGGCAGGCTGCGACTAGGACTGCTCAGATGGAAGAGCCAAGGACAGAAATCGCAGGTGGCTAGAAGTTGCTTCCTTGTTCCAAGGCAGCAGTAATTCTTAGGCCTTCCTAGATGATATTTTGGTCACAGTGCATTAAGAAACTCCAGGATGTGAATGAAGACTCCATAAAATTCCTGCTTCCTGTACCTCCACAGGTTTCAGTGGCCCAGAGGTGCTTACAGCAATGGTGTGGGTGTTAATGAGACACTAAAACATGCCCTAGTATGTGTGATGCACTTACAGCCTTTTCAACCCTGCTCTGATTCCTTAGTATATGAACGTGGAATTTATTTTTAGTTCTTTTTCTTCCCACTGGGCTCAGGCAGGGTCACAATATGGCAATAAATGTAATTTTGCTTATTTGCTGAGTATTCTCCCCTTGAAGACACACGGCTCCTTTTCTATTCTCCGGTGTACTCTCATCTTCCAGATGGGATTTGAGCCGTCTTTTACCGCTCTTCACATTTAGTGAGAATGTTTTCCACTTCGCCAGCTTCCTGCTCTGAGGCATATTTTACAGCATCCTTATATCTTACGGCTTACTGCATTCCATACCTAGAAGGGGCCTTTATGACTACCAGATTGTTGTTGTTATCTTTATCACCAAAAAGCCTTCATTAAACATGCATTAAGAAAAACACTGAAGAAAGAAAACTCTACAGATTGGACTCAGTTATCTGGTACCTCATAGTCTAAGAACACTCTTGCATCCAACCCCAACACACACATTATTTTTAAAATGCACTTTTAGGGGCTTCCCTGGTGGCGCAGTGGTTGAGAGTCCGCCTGCCGATGCAGGGGACATGGGTTTGTGCCCCGGTCCGGGAAGATCCCACATGCCGCGGAGCGGCTGGGCCCGTGAGCCATGGCCGCTGAGCCTGCGCGTCCGGAGCCTGTGCTCCGCGGTGGGAGGGGCCACAGTGGTGAGAGGCCCGTGTACCGCAAAAATAAATAAATAAATAAATAAAATAAAATGCACTTTTAAACGCAGTGATATAACCGGGTTGGTATAGGTGACAAGACTGAATTGGACACAGGAGAGGACGAACCAGTGGAGAGGGCAGATCAGAAGTGCTTTCTGATTAAGAAGTTCCAAGAACACTGTTGTAGGAAAATAGCGGGATCAAGGTTCACAATCCCACAACTTTTCCCCGATCACTCTCGGTTCTATGTCTGACTTGGAGATACAATATTTGGAACTCTTGTCCTGGGTGTTGAATGGCCAGTTTTTGTTTCCTTCTAAGACAAGTAATTTAGACTCTGTGTGTGCATACCAGTTTTTAATTGTATATATAGTTATCATAAGTCAAAAAACAAGATTTGATCCATTGTGGGTAGATCTTATCATAATGAACTTACTCTATTGTAAAATCAACATAACAAAAAGTGCATTTTACGAAGACGTGGCCCAAACCTGAGCGCTTTCAGATGCTGAACAAGAGCCTCTTGTCATTGCAGGTGGGATGGAAGACAACCCGTGAGTACTACACCTTCATGTGGGTTACTTTGCCTGTTGACCTAAACAGCAAATCTCCCAAACAGCAGGAGGTCCAGTTCAAAGGTGAGAAAAATACTGGATCAAAGGTAGAAGACAGCTAGCAGCCAAGACTAATTAATTCCCTTGAGCTTGAGCTTTCTGGGTAGATAAAAGACTTCCGGATTTTTAGTTTTCTGAATAGACCTTATTTTGGATTAAAAATCATGTTCTGTTTTCAGCTTATTACCTGCCCAAGGATGATGAGTATTACCAGTTCTGCTATGTGGATCAGGATGGTGTGGTCCGGGGGGCAAGTATCCCTTTCCAGTTCTGTCCAGAAAATGAGGAGGACATCCTGGTTGTTACCACTCAGGTCTGTAAGCATCTCATCTCAATCCCTTCCTGCCGCTAAGGGTAGCAATTCCAGGATAGGGTAGAATTTTAGTCAGTAAGCCTTTATTGAATGTCTAACAGTTAACTGTTGGGAAAATTTTATACAGTACCCATTCAAACCCACCATTCCTAAGGGAATGACTTAGGAATGTTAACAAGAATCATAACAATAAGTGATTTCTCCTTTCTCTAAAACTTCTGTAACTCAGTTGACATTCAGTTATTTAACTTTCCCAGTTACTTAATTTTTGTCATCTGCACATCTTATCACCATAGTAAATTTTATAAGCTCCTTTGAGGAGAGACACACCAGATATTCTTCTTTGTATCTCTCAGATTCATTTGCTTACTCAGTTATTTAACAGGACACCTACTTCCATCCAACACTCTGGTAGGCACTAGGGATGTAGTGAAGAATCAATTAAAATCCTGTCCCAGTCTCAAGGAGCTAAGTCTGAGAGGAGAGACAAACAATATTAAGTGTTTGCAAGAAAAAACTCTGTTCTTTTGTCAATTACCCCTTTTAACTTTTTGTGGCCTTAATTTTGCTTATCTTTCTTTCTTGGTAATGGCAGCCTCAATGCTGCAATTATACAGACACACCTCTCTTACCCCGCTTCCCTACATACTGAGGGGCTGCTTCCACTTGGGGTAAACAGATGTCACTACAGTGAGTGGGAATCAGCTAGACCCTAACCATCCCAGCCTATGGGAATTTTCTGCTAGAGGGACTTGAATATCCATTGAGCTATAAAGGGCCAAACATGAGTTTATGGAACGTTCTTTCGTAGGGTGAGGTGGAAGAGATTGAGCAGCACAACGAGGAGCTCTGCAGGGAAAACAAGCAGCTGAAGGACAGCTGTGTCAGCCTCCAGAAGCAGAACGCAGACATGCAGGCTAGGCTCCAGAAGAAGCAGGTATGGCTGCTGGTTAAAGGTGAACTTGGAGGTTGGAGATCAGAATCATTTTCTGTTTTTCTTGTGATCTCACGCCCTTATACTAATATCTGGCACAGATTTTAGTATATTAGAGATTTCCTTTTTATTGTTTACATATTGAAATGATATTTTCATTTAATGAATTAAATACATATACTATTAGTAAAATAATTTCATCTATTTCTTTTTACTTGTTTTAATGTTGCTACTAAAATTTTTAAATTATGTATGTGGCTTTCATGAATTAATTGGACAGCACGTTTCTAGGAGAAAAGCACCTTTATTTTGCCCACTGCTGTGTCTGCAGTGCCAGAACAGTGTCTGGTGTGTAATAGGCACTCAGTAAATATTTGTTTAATGAATTAATGGACAAATATAAGCTCCACTAGAAGAGAAATTAGGTAGATGTATTTTTTTCTTCCTTTTTTTAATTGAGTTGTAGTTGATTTACAATGTTGTGTTAGTTTCAGGTGTACAGCAAAGTGATTCAGTTTTATATATATATATATATGTATATATATATATATATATTAGATACTTTTCCCGTATAGGTTATTACAAAATATTGAGTATAGTTCTCTGTGCTATACAGTAGGTTCATGTTGGTTATTTATTTTATATATAGTAGTGTGCATAATGTTAATCCCAAACTCCTAAGGTAGATGTATTTTTAATATGGAAAGAACATATTAAGAACATTTTAATATAGAACTCCTTTTACTTGGATATTTCATTCACTGCTGTGTCATGCTATATGCCTGACATATAAGTGCTCAATAAATATTTGTTGGCTGCCTGAGATACTAAACACTGTCTTAGAAATGTTAAGTCCCTTTGATGTTTCAATCTACAGGAGGAGCTAGAAACCCTAAAGAGCATCAATAAGAAATTGGAACAGACAATGAAAGAGCAGAAGGACTGTTGGGAGACAGAGCTTCTTCAGTGAGTGTGACTCTTGAATGGGAGGAGCTGCTGTATTATAGACACCCTTAGGCAGGGTCTGATTAGATTTTAGAACAGTCTTCCTATTATGACAGTGATAGGTATGATTCTCCTTCTTTGATTCATGAGCTCTTTGATTCTAGGTTAGAGAATTAGTATCAGAATTGTAAGGACAAATGACCTGAATTCAAGTATTAGCGTTAAGTATTGAACACTTGCAGTTTGAGGTCAGGAAGCCAAAATAGGACTGAAGAAGAGACTAGTGGATTTAAAAATAACTCTGCAGGCTTAGGGCCAAGGCAGCCTTAAATCGTTTAAGGTCTGGGGGAGCTGACCTAGAATCAGTATTTTTTTTCACTTAGTCGTCTCCACTTCCACAGGCTGAAAGAACAAAACCAGAAGATGTCCTCAGAAAATGAAAAGATGGGAGTCAGAGTGGATCAGCTTCAGGTAGGTAATGCCAAACCTTTGCCAAAGTATATTTCCTTAGCCTTGCCACCACTCCACTGCGGTGGCCCAGGAAGATACAGCTCATTGTACTGAGGGCCTAGTGGTGGATCGCTCAGAGCATCACACTACAGTTTCAGTGTGTGTGTTTTCCGTTCTTGGCCCTCCACACCCTTTTTAACTTTTCTTTTAGCTACAAAATCTTTTCAAGCAAAGTCTTACTAAAAAGCCTGGAATGTAAAGCAGGTAGCAGCAGGACTCTCTTTTTTAGGAAGCTGTGCCTTGAAGAGGGGCTTTAAAGGGTGGCTTGTCAGATTTTACTCAGCTGAGCCTTAGATTCTCAGGTGTAAGGTAGAGCTGAAGAGTGAAGACGTTCTTAGGGGTATTTGGCAGCTGGGAGTTGCTGGGGAACACACATCTCTTTATGTTACTGCACATTTAAAAGCATTGTTCCTGTTTAGTTTTCCTTCTTTTTTATTTTGGTTACATTCACTATTTTTGCTTTAGGCCCAGCTGTCAACTCAAGAGAAAGAAATAGAGAAGCTTGTTCAGGGAGTCCAAGATAAAGCAGAGCAGTTGGAGGACCTGAAAAAGGAAAACGGCCAGCTCTTTCTCAGCTTAACTGAACAGGTAGAGTCATGGAACAAAATATTTTTAGGCATTTGTGAAAAAATATATAGATTGTTCTTTCTTTGCTCTATCATATACCTGGGTGTCACTGGCTGCGGGAAAGGTCTCAGGGAAGCCATCTGAAATGAGGTATCTAACGGCTTTTCTCAGAAACTTACAAGAGAAGACTTGCTTTTCTCTCTGCACCCTGCTCGCTCATTAGCTTAGCAGGCCTTTCCCCAGTGCGTGCGCACATGTGCTTGTGCGTGTGCGTGTGCGTGTGTTTTCCCAGCAGTGGTACTGAAATCTGTTTTTGTGCAGAGGGAACACCGGAAGGAGCTCGAACGGACAGTGGAGGAGATGAAGCAGAAAGAAACTACTGCAGCGAAGAAAGAACAGGAGTTAACGGCATGTCTGTCTTTGGATGGCTATGTGGGAGGGAGCCTAAAGAAAGGAAGGGATAGAGCCTATTTTCAGGGGATGGACAGGATAAATGACACAGATTAGAATAGCATTTACCTCTGGACTTTCTTCTCTCTACCCAAAGGGACAGAGAATCTGCCATTTATAGACTGTTGAGGAGAGGTGGGCATTTCTAATATGTGACGAGTGAAAAGGAATATTGGAAGTTAAACTTCACGAGAGATTGTAGTAAATAGAGCCTTGGGCTAGGAATCACACAGAATAACCCCTACCCCCTTCTTAAAGAGTTTTTGTCAGGGCAGACAAATTAATGATTGTCAAATGAGCTCTACAATTAGAAGATATTATAGTAGTCAAACAAATTTTGTTATAATTAATATAATGTTAGCGATTATCATAATTATAAATTGTTCTGAGCTATGTAATATAGTAATGAAAGCCTAATTGACTAATAATTTCCTATAATATATTGTTGGAAACAAGGCCTCATGGTGATCACAGGTGCCTAGAAGCTCCATTTTCTGAACTGTTGTAAGGACATGAGAACTCCTGATGTGTGGAGAATATCCAGTTATTGGGAATGTAACTCATATCCTCTATGCATCATTCATTCATTCAATCATTATCTAATTGATCATTGAGTACCTACTGTATATAAGATACTGCGTATTTTAGCTTATATAATAAAGAATAGATGCAACAAAGTTTGAAAATCTTCAACTCACAGATTAAGTATAGCTCACAGGAATGTTTTATTGTTCTAGATGGTGTTTTTTAAAAAACTGATTTGGTGAACAGCACTTAAAAATGGGAACATTTCCCATTAAAAGAAATTTGTATTTCCAGCTTCTTGAAAAATCAGAGGCTCTGGCAACATATGAGCCGACACTCCCGCCCAGTAGCAGTATCTGGAGCTGGAGCTGCTGACCCCTTAGATGGGTCATGCGTTCCCCATGTGGCTGCCGTCCTCACTGTTTTGTTACATCCCACTCCTTCATTCAGTTCCATTACTTGCCAGGCCCCTATTGGCACTTTTGAGTTTGTGACCTCTGATGTAACAAAGAAATCTGCTTTAAATAATCTACAGCCATTCAAAGGTTTGAACCTCCTTGGTTTTCATGGAATACTTTGAAAGATCCAGGGGCTCCCCAGCTGTCTGACAGCAATTCTTTATTCCTCATGCATCCAAAAGTCCCCTATCTCTGACGACTATGTATCTTAGGCTTCAGGAGCCTAAGAACAAGAAAACAGCAGTGGAGGAGCAGCTAGTACAAGAGGTGGAACGCCTAAAGGCAAAGGTAGAGGCCGGGAAAGCCTGTTTCTTAGAGAAGTACAAAGAGTGTCAGCGGCTCCACAAACAGATCAGGCAACTCAGGGCTGCCGCACGTGTAGGTGACAGAGATGAGGGGCCCAGGAAGCAAAGGGTGTGAAGGTTTGTGGCTCCTGGACCAAGCCCAGAGGATTGTACACCCTTGTTAAGGAGAATACACCCTCTGCTAAAAAGAGGGATGGAGTATGGGGCCAGAAACCAGCCTGGAGATCCCCAGAAATAGAGGCCCCAGCTCAGCCATGGGTCTCAGGGAAGGTTTTTTTTTTTTTTTGCAGTACGCAGGCCTCTCACTGTTGTGGCCTCTCCCGTTGCGGAGCACAGGCTCCGGACGCGCAGGCTCAGCGGCCATGGCTCACGGGCCCAGCCGCTCTGCGGCATGTGGGATCTTCCCGGACCAGGGCACGAACCCGTGTCCCCTGCATCAGCAGGCGGACTCTCAACCACTGCGCCACCAGGGAAGCCCTCAGGGAAGGTTTTTATAACCATTGAGCAGGTTTCTGTACAGACTCAGATAGTGCTTTCTTATTTCTGCCTTTTGAGGAAGTGAACCAGGACCAGAAGAGCCAGCAGGAGCCAGTGGGGGTGGGGAACCAGGGGCCTGCAGTCAGCACTGTCATCGGGTAGCCCCCTTTCGCATTACTACCTCAGGGTCGGCTAGAAGTGCACAGCATTCAAATAAAAAATCTTGAAAAAAAACCCCACAACTGGTAGGATTAGCTTAAAGTGTTTTTGTGAGGTATTCGCATGTGTGTGTATATAGGCAGGTGTCGGGAAGCGCTGAAGCATGCCTATGAGTTTTGGCTCCATGAAACTAGTCAGGTGAACCCATCGTACTGGGAAGCCTAGGACCGCAGTCTGGGTTCCTTTTAGCCTTGGATAAATGCCTTCCAGGGTTCCTTCTTCCTCAGTGTAACTTGAGTCCATATGCCTATCTTCACACTGGGAGGGAGTCACACCAGCCTAACTCAGTGCTTCACGCTGTGTTGGGTGAGATGTTTATTCAAGACAAAGATGATGATTGTTTCCATGGTTGCGTGGGGTTTAAAAAAAGCTCAGTTTATCCCTAATTCTGTTAAGCCAGTCTTGAGGTTTCCCCCAAGCTAACTTTTTCTCTCTTTGGTCACTTACTCCCAGCTAAACCAAACGAAACTGGCATCTTGATGCCAGCCCAAGCCTTCAGGCATTTTGTTAAGTCATTTTTCTGTAAGTCAGCATCACCTCCATGGTACCACTCCTCCCTACCCCCATTTCCTTCTCCACCACCTCAGTCCCACCACTTTGGACAGCCAGATCCTCTTTGATCTTGTTTTACCCCACCTTGGATCCAGACTGCAATAGGTGGTCCTAATCCTAATTTTTTTTTTGACAGGACCAGAACTTTGACCTGTCAAAAAGACTGAGTGAGAACAAGATTATATATAACGTTCTGCAGAAAGAGAAAGAGAGAATGGAAGAAGAAAATAGTGTAAGTGTGTAAAAGACTTTTTAAGGGAAGGAGCAGGGTGACCCAGAGATGTGATGACAACATAAAAAGTTAAACAAAAGAGCCCTTTCTGGGACATTGGATGAGACAGTTGCTCCCAAACAAAGGGTACATTTCATCTGGTTTCCTAATCTACCGCAAAACCCATTCTTTGTTCTGTAACTGAAGCTTGTTTGGCATGGCAGTAGTGACCTTGAAAGGAACAGCCTTGATGAAGATCTAACTTATTATTTTTGCTTTTAACTCCACAGCTATTCTAAGTATTGTCTTTGGGGAGTAATATCCTACATCATTTTTGTGCTAGCTGAGGGACCCTTTTCCTTCAGCACAACTTTTTTCTTTTTCTCTGCTGCCAAACCAGGAGAAGTGGTGGTCTGTACCAGTGCTGGACCCATGGTAGGCCCCAAATAAATACCATGCATTCATTCATTCATTCATCAGTTCATTCTTTCATCCAACCAGTATTTATTTTCTGCTGTATGCTAACACATTATTATTGATTGATTGAGGATGATGGCAGCAAATAAGGTTGAACTTGAAGTCATTCTCACGTGCTTGCTGGCATCAAAGAGCAGGTGTCCATGCATTCTGGCTGCTCCTCCGATCTGCACCTCCAGCCATTCTCCATCTCTACCCTCTCCATAACCTTCTGGGCTGTGCCTCCAAGTGATCATTTCTACCTTTGATTATATCATTTATGCCAATGTGTTTCAATTTCGCAGAAAGGCTTCGGGGTCTGTCTCTGGTCCTGTCATTCTCATCCTCTTGATTTAGTTAGCGGTACTTTGACTTTGAAGTAGTCGACGGTGTGGGCTGGGGGTGGGGGAAGGGTGTGCAGCGGATGGGGAGGAAGAATGCACACAACTTGCAGCAAGAAGAGAAAGATCTGATATTTGGAGCTTTGTTAGGAACTGTAGTAAAACCCTCTGAAGATGTTAAGAGGAAATTTACTGATTTTCTTTTTTCTAAGAACTTTAAACGCTGCCTGTCCCCCTTGTGGCTTGATCTCTTACATTCTTTCTCTCTCTCGCATTCCCTCCCTCTCTTTTTTCCTCCCTCTCACTCTCTGTTGGCATATCCATTTAATGGGATAAAACATGAAGAGGGAAAATTATATCAGATGAATATTCACACTATGTAAGAAAATTGTTCTAGGAAGGAGACTAAAAAGCATTCTGCTCTCAATAATGTGTAACAATTTCAATCTTAACATAGCTCCCACCACCCTCACATATCCATAAAACTTCTGTACCCCCTTCAGTTGGTGTGTATTTAAAGGTTTAAAATTCCTTTTTGCATTCATTCTAAACAAAATTCAATACATATTTAAATTCAGATATTAAGAACTCAGATCTTTGGAATACTGAGGCTGCTGCTTCCCCTTTTGAAGGATTATGGTTTATCCTTTCTTGGGCTTCTCCAGTGCCACACTGTTAATTGAGAACTACCTGTAATGGGCATCCCTGGCCAGTTCCTTGTGGCCATTTGTTGTTGGCTTTTAACATGTCTCTTTAAATACTCTATCCTTAGCTTTTGAAGATGGAGAACAGCACACTGCTGAGTTACATGGGTCTGAATTATGACTCTTTGCCGTATCAAGCGCCTGCTTCGAATCAAGGAGGTGCGAGACCAAACCCAGGACTTGTCTATGGAAACCCGTATTCTGGTAAGACAACTTTGCCATTCGAGGTGGAGGCCCCTGCTTGCATCCCTTTCCTCCAATAAATTTTCTTTTTATCTGAAATGCTAATTAAGACCAGCCTCATTGTTAAGACTTGTTGGGCAGAAGCTGAGTACCCAACAGAAAGACTGCCAGGCAAGAAGTGTTAATTGAGAAATACATCTGAATCTAGAAGACACAAATAGATCATTCGCCTAGAGGCAGCAGACACAAATTGAGTCCCGTGGCTATATTCCAAATATATGAGTCAGAGAAATGTCTCTGTGTAGAAGATATATACATCTAAAGCTGAGGAGGCTAATTAAGATTTGGAAGTGGAAGCACGAGAGGCGGACTGTGCCACCCAGGATGGGCTGTTAGGCAGCCACCCCCGTGGCCTGACCAAGGGTAGCAGGGATGTGCTCAACAGAGACTCCTGAGTGGTTTGGAGGACAGGAAGTGGGGTGACAACCAGTCTTGTCATTGAAGGACCCGGGGTCAGATGTCTTTGCCAAACAGGGAACTTTCCTCCTTTTTTGTCTCCAAAGCGATATGAGACCTCATTTGCTTTTTTGCGACAGTTTAAAGCAGTCCTGTTCTCTTTTTTTTTTTTTGCGGTACACGGGCCTCTTACTGTCGTGGCCTCTCCCGTTGCGGAGCACAGGCTCCGGACGCGCAGGCTCAGCGGCCATGGCTCAGGGGCCCAGCCGCTTAGTGGCATGTGGGATCTTCCCAGACCGGGGCACGAACCTGTGTCACCTGCATCGGCAGGTGGACTCTCAACCACTGCGCCACCAGGGAAGCCCAGTCCTGTTCTCTTAACAGTCACAATCTGATCTTTGCAACAGGCAGGGGTACAAGTTTATTTTTCCTTAAAAGTATATTTTTAAACATTTCATTTAAAAAATGACTGTGTGGATTTGGTCTTAAAATCTATTCTCAGACTATTTCCGTGTTAAATTGTTACTGTTTTCATTAAAATCTCATTTTCTCCACACTGAAAATAGGTTTATTGTTTTTTTCTGATTATATAATGGCTACTGAAAATGCCACTTCATTATTTTTTCCTCTTTTCCCACTATCCTTGACATAGATCCCCTCTATCAAAGTAGATGGTATATATGAGAGCTAAAGAATCAGAAGGGGAACAATGAGGGTTACAAAAAACAGCTGCTAGAACACAGCTGGAGAATGTATTCTAAGGATGCATTTCATTGAGTGCAGTCTTTTTTATTACCTTCAGGTATCCAAGAAAGTCCTGCCCCCAGCCTGGTAAGTATTTGATTCCTGAGATTGCCCACAGCAAATCTTTGAGAAGATTTCCCTTCCTGCTCCATCCAGTTCACGGGAGAACCGTAGGGAGACTGGTTCACTGTGATAATCCAAGTCAGCAGGGTCAATTTGGTCAGTGCCGAAAGCTGAGAGAGCCTGTTAGGGCGGGGAGAAGAAAACACAGTTCATCCATCAGTGTTCTGCTGAAGATTTTTCACCTGTGAATTGAGTTTGGTAGAAGGACTAGGGAGGAGATATGAACCAGGCAGGTAGCCAAACAAGGTATGTCCAGTGCTCCTTCCAGGCAGTATTACATCCTTTCAATCCTGGGGTTAGAGAATGCCCCAGTGAGTAGCTCCAAATGTGAATTTGTTCATTCATCCTCTATTTCTTGATCACCTACCATCTGCCAAGCATGATGCTAGGTGCTGAGGATATAGTAGAAAGTCAGACACAGTCTCTGCCGCATATAGCTTACATTCGGACTGACCTCTTTGCTCTTCCTCCCAGCTCTCCATCAAGAAATGCCCCACCTGCAAATCAGACTTTCCTGATGACTTGTTTGATCACACCTTGGAGCAGCACATGCAGCCCCTTAGTTTGAATTGTCCAATTTGTGACAAGGCCTTCCCAGCAAAAGAGAAGCAGATCTTTGAAGACCATGTGTTGTGCCACACTCTCTAAGTGTCCCGGCCTCTTGGATCTATACTGTACATGGATTTTATAGAGTAGAAGCTTCTACTATGAGTTATGACCCAAGATCCTGCCTAACCTGAATCATTAGGGATTTACTTAGTCCTGCTGCCCTATAGGTGGAGTCATGTCAATTATCTGAAGTATAGTGTTAAGGGCTGTTACTTCCATCCTTGTGGGTTTTAGTACCTTTTAAGTCACATAACTCCAGCTGTGTCAGCCTCTCAACTAAAATGCCCATTCTTGCGAGGGTCTCCAGCATAAAGGCCCTGGGTTGGAGCTGACCTGGCTGTTCACAGGAGGCCTGACTCGAGTACTAAGTGAGTAGTTTTCCAGGTTGTCCCACTGCCATTCAAGGTCAGGCCTTGAGTGTGTTTGTACTCAGTCCTCAGTCCTAACCCTGGGGCTGGTGACTGATCAGAGGTTGAGAATTTCTACCTCCTCCTCAGGCCTCCTTCTCCAACTAATTTAGAATAGTCAAAAAAGGCATGGCAGAGAACCCAGATATCCAATTTGGATACCAAAGTTTTCTCATCTTGATTTCCCAGCTCCCGACGGAAGCATTCCTGAACAATGGACATGAAATATTTCACTCACAGAAAGGCTTTCTCTCTGGATACCTCTGACTGGCATTTTCTACTCTGGTTTTTTCCTGTGCACATAACTATTATTGTTGTAAGTCCTTTCTTAATGGTTAGTGGGACTTGTTAGAAACTGTATGGGTTTGCAACTTTCTGAGCAGGTGAGTTTGAATATGGATAAGTTAGAATAAGAACTATTGTTAATCGCTTTAATACTAAAAATAAACTAGTCCTCTATTCAGGGACTTTGGTAATTTAAAATAAACCTTGAGTTCATGTTTTTTTATTTTTAAGCTTGTGGGGAAAGTATAATCAAAAGGATTGTCAGAATTATAGACTCCACCAAGGATTTCTCTTCACCTGTCTTAACTAGTCAACAAAAGAGTGTCCTGGCCATTATCTTGAGGTGGAGAGGGAGGTGACGAAGCATTAGTTTGAGAAATCTGGAGCCCTGACTTTCTTGTTCTAACTTTCTGTGCATTTTTGAAAGGGTGTGGATTTGGGCACCTTTTGTGAACTAACTTCAGTTCCCTCCATCCAGATCTGCCTAATTGAACTATAAGAAGCAATTCCATTTTCTCCACCCCAGGGACTGAACAAATGGAAATGACTCCCAGGCCGTCAGCCAGCTGGTCACTGTAGAGACTTTTACAGAAACTTTTGAATGATGTGAAACATGATGCTGTGCATCAGGTTGAGCCAATTATAGCTCTGCATTCCTTCTGTGGTTTTCCCTGACGTGACTAAGTTAGGCCTTAGACTAACTGTATTGTCCTAGTCACAGCTCCTCACCTTTATTTCTCCTTTGATAAAATGAAGATGAGACTATACTCCCACTGCTTCTCCCGTATCACCATTTCGATATGATGTCTCTTGGACTCATAAGCCTTTGCCCTGTAAGAATCAGATGTGACATTAAGACAAAGTTTAGAATAGAAATATGGGACTTCCCTGGTGGCGCAGTGGTTAAGAATCCGCCTGCCAGTGCAGGGGACAAGGGTTGGATCCCTTGTCCAGGGAGTTCCCACATGCCCCGGAGCAACTAAGCCCGTGTGCCACAACTACTGAGCCCACGTGCCGCAACTACTGAAGCCTGCGCGCCTAGAGCTCCACAACAAGAGAAGCCACGGCAATGAGAAGCCTGCGCACCGCAACGAAGAGTAGCCCCCGCTCACCGCAACTAGAGAAAGCCCACGCGCAGCAACGAAGACCCAACGCAGCCAAAAAAATAAATGAATGAATGAATAGAAATATAACGGGGAGAGAGTAACACAGTTTTTCTGGCAGATACCCTTCCTGCAAAATTTCTGTTGCTCCCCAGATAGTTCCAGTGAAGAATTGCAGTTTCATTTATTTTATACTAGTCAGCTCTTAATTAAGCACACGAATGGAGAGGAGCAGTGGTGCACATAACCCAAATCAGCGAATACCATTTTCTGGTGAATCACCCACCCCTTTGCCCCTGCTACCCTGAGGGTTACCGTGATTATCAACAGCAGCAGGAGCCCTTCCACAGGCTTGGTACAAAAAAGCAGTTGAGGTGTTAATCATCCTTTTTGCTGGATGTAAAACAAAGCATCTTTAACCACTGTTCATTATCCCCAGCTGCTCTTACCAAGGCTTTGAAGGGGAAATTACGCTCGAGGCATCTACTAGTGGTAAAGGAAACAGTCATTCTTACATAATCCAATCATCACCCCAGCCTTTTCCGTCTATACCTCTTACACCCACAGATTTTAAAGCTGGAAAATTCCTGCAAGAAATAACAGCTTGTGGGAGCAAAATGGATTTGAGAATCTGTGTACTTATTATGGCAACAAGTTTTCCTTCCTAGTTCATTTTCTCTTTTCTAATATTAAAATGTTTTTGCGTTACCTTAGCACACTCACTAAGCAGTGGGGAAAAAAGTCACCCTGGCATACATGAGTGTGAGTGGTGAAGGAAAGCTAACCTAAAATCAGAGAAGGGAGAGTTGGCAAGATATTTGGTAAACTTAGACCCCTAAGAACACCTGTAGCTTCAGCCCTTTTGCCTCATCTTGCTAAAAATTGGGATGAAATGGAACTGCCTTGATGTTTAAATATGATCCTGGGATTCGAGTGATTTTCTACAGTGGCTGTGGACTGCACTGAGCTAAGCACTCTCTAACCTGGTCTCCTAGCAACAAATGCTAATGAGATGGTAGGCTGTGGCAAAAAGATGCCGTCCATTACCTAGGGAAAAAAGCAAAATGGACTCAGCATAACATAGAGATCAAACCTGAAGAGATAGCACCTAATTCTCCTGAGTTAACCAACAACAGGCCACAAGCTCGGGGAAATTACACTGAGATCTCCTTAATTGATCTCATATAAATATTAAAATAATGGCTTTATAAGCATGTAGTGCTTTATAGTTTAGAATACATTTCATATAGTCCATGTATACTTTCAGTAACCCTTCGAAACAGAGAGCTTTTTTTAAATTTATTAATTATTTTTGGCTGCATTGGGTCTTCTTTGCTACGCGGGCGGGCTTACTCTAGTTGCGGTGCGCGGGCTTCTCATTGAGGTGGCTTCTATTGTTGTGGAGCACGGGCTCTAGGCGTGCGGGCTTCAGTAGTTGTGGCACGTGGGCTCAGTAGCTGTGGCTCACAGGCTTAGTTGCTCCACAACATGTGGAATCTTCCCAGACCAGGAATCCAACCCGTGTCCCCTGCATTGGCGGGCAGATTCTTAACCACTGCGCCACCAGGGAAGTCCCTGAAACAGCTATTAACTCCCATTTTTATAGATGAATAAGATGAAACGTGGAGAAATAACCTGCTAAAAGTGGAAACAACCCAAATGTCCGTCAGTTGATGAGTGGGTAAATATGATATAGCCATACAACGGGATATTATTTGGCAATAAAAAGGAACGAAGTACTGAGATGTCACAACATGGACGAACCTTGAAAACATGCTGTGAAAGAAGCTAGTCACAGAAGATCACATACTGTATGATTCCATTTATATGAAATGTCCAAAATAAGAAAATATTCTATGGAAATAAAATAGATTAGTATTTTCCTAGGGCTGGGTGTTGGGGGAAATGGAGAATGACTGCTAATGGGTGTGGAGATTCTTTCTGGGGTAGAGAAAATGTTCTAAAATTTATTACAGAGATGGTTGCACAACTGTGTGAATATACTAAATACCACTGAATTATACACTTAACAGGTGAATTGTGTGCTATGTGAGTTATATCTCAAGTTGGTATGTTTTTAAAAGGTTAAAAGGATGTCTTTTTTTTTTTTTTTTTTGGCCATGCCATGTGGCATGCGGGATCTTAATTCCCCAACCAGGGATCAAACCTGTGCCCCCTGCATGGAGAGCGTGCAGTCTTCACCACCAGACCGCCAGGGAAGTCCCTAGGATGTCTTAAATACAGATACAGAGCAGGTTCAGCACTGTTGACCTTGGTTAAATCACACTTGTCAGTACAACCCCTGCCTCAGCAGTGTTGGGTTCTCCCCCTCTCTTGGGCTGGAGGCAGCGCTTCAGTTGTGATTAGTAGCGTCAGGCCAATTAATGGTAGCCTACCATCTGGCCAGCAGCATTGGTGGTCTCTGGGAATATCTATTTTGTGGAGATGAATGGACCCAATAAAGTTGGGGTAAAGAGTCACCAGCCCACAAATCCCAGGTAATCATATGAAGGGATCCAGCCTGTTCTGCCTAGTGTTATTACTTTCTCCCTGTGGAAAGAAAGAATATGACACTCTGGGGAACTAAGTCTGTCGTTTACCCAGTCAGTCAACATTTAGTGAGCACCCACAGTGTGCAGAGCTAATACAGGGCCAGGATTTTTTTTTTTTTTAATAGAAAAGTTCTTCCCTCGAGGGATCTGCAAGATTAATGAAGACATTCTGTCTGCCCTCTGGGAGCCCTCGAACTGCTGGGGGAGAGATTCTCAGGTTTCAGGGGTCTCCTAATCTGTTGGGGAAATGAGATTAACTGCCCAATTTAAGGACGCAAAGATAAGGGACATCATCTCGCAAACTGAAGACATGAGGGCTATGGGACCTGAGTGTTAATTAAGATGTGAGCAAAGCCCAAGTTAATGATGTCTTACATGAGTGTGCTTTGGAAGAGGTTGAGGGACAAAAATGGCAGACCCAAATGGGGAGGGTATCCTGAGGGTCTCTACAAAGGGGGAGAGAGAAGCCGCTCCAGAATGCAAAGAACTTTGAAGCCAAAGTACTAGCATATAAAAAGAAACAAGTTTCTGTCCTGAAAGACACTCCAGTCAGTTGAACCACATCTAACAAGCTCATTTGAGCTCAAAAGGGACAGGAGGGAGGGTGGCGAAGGGTGTCAGTTTTAAGGATATAGGAGTGTCTCAGAGCCCCAGGCTTAAGATTCCCAGCCCTTAGGGCTAGAGTGCCAGGTGACACAGAGACATCATCCCTTGCCATTTGTTACCCTGCTTCTCTGCCTCTGAGTCAAACCTCTTTCACTGCAGTCTGATTCTCTGCCTCCCAGACTGCATGATGGAAACTGGTTGCTGCTTATCTGAGTTTTTAGGCTACTCTGCTTTAAAAAAAAAGAGTTGTGAAAGGAAAGGATGGGAATCTCAGTCCAACTCTAGATTCCCTGAGGGAGGGACTTGTTTGGCCCTGCTAGGGTGAACCAATGCACTCACTCCTTGTTCAGTCAACTGTGGCCAGAATGTGCGGTCACCCTGCACCAACCTGGCAGCTCTGAGTCACTGCAGGGATGGGAAGGGAGGTGCATGGGGAGAGGAGAGTACCAGAGAAGATGGTCTGAGCTGAGCGTGCAACAGATAATTGCAATAATTTATAACAAATGCTGCGGGTGGGAGGATGGGATTCAAATCTGATTAAAGGATGAGTGGCCTTTAGGTGGAGAAAACTGGGGAGGATGCCATAATAGAGCGCAGGATAGGGACTTCCGTGGTGGTCCAGTGGTTAAGACTCTGCACTCCCAGTGCAGGGGGCCCAGGTTCGATCCCTGGTCAGGGAACTAGAACCTGCATGCTGCAACTAAAAGAGCCCGTATGCCACAGCTAAAATCCCCGCATGCCACAACGAAGGTCCCGCACACGGCAGCGAAGATCCCGCGTGCCACAGCTAAGAACCAGGCACAGCCAAATAAATAAATAAATTTTTTTTTTAAAGACAAAGGATGGAATACTACCGAGCAATAAAAAGGAGCAAACCTGGCACATGCAATAACTTGACTGACATCTCCACAGAATTAAGCTAAATTTGAAAGCATTTTAAA